AACAGTGGTCTTTCTGTGGCTTGGGTATTAGAGACATGTTAGCTAACAACATCTCCTCGGGGAATTTACCCCCCTGTAAAACATCATTAAATAGTGTTATCAAGTATGGAGCCAATGTAGAGGCAAAATGTTTATAATAGCCAGCAGTAAATCCATCAGGACCCGGTGCAGTAGAGCGTTTCAGCGTTCCTATTGCACATGTTATTTCCTCTAAAGTACAGGGGGCATTAAGAGAGGCAATCTGAGAAGGTGTGAGAGCAGGAAGGGGTATAGAATCTAGCCATAAATCTGATAGAGAAACAGAATCCGACTGTGGAGAAGCCAGTAGTTTAGAATAAAAATTTTCAAAAATACCCAAAACTTCCTGAGGTAATGATGAGATAGCACCTGAATTAGTACGCAATTTATACACATGTGGGGGGCGCAAAGAATGGTTCAATTTCCTAGCAAACATGGTAGATGCTGAGTTGCTATGTAATAGGAACGAGGCCTTCGACCAGCGGAGGGCCTTTTCAGTTTTTTGGGAAAGTAGGGCATTCAGTTCCAAGCGTTTTTGGGACAACAGCTGTTTATTAAGTAAAGATGGATCAGCTACATGGCTGGCTTCTATAGTGTGCTTCTAATTCTCGGGTTAAAAGTAGTATCTGCTGCCAACGTTTTTTTATTTCTGGCCGAAGCCATAGAGATAAGTCGGCCCCGTAGGACCGCCTTGTGGGCTACCCAGAGTGTGGCTGGGGAAATATCAGGGGTTGAATTAGATTGAAAGTATTCCTTAAGAGATGTAACCACCTCCTGCCGAGAGTCAGTATCAGTTAGCATAGAATCATTAAGTCTCCATGAAAAGGGAGTAGGTGCCAATCCCACAAACGTGATAGATAAGGCCATAATACTGTGATCCGACCAGGGGCTCAAATGAATACTAGCTATCCTAGAATTAGCTAGCAAAATAGGGGTACAAAAGATATAGTCTAGTCTAGCATAAGAGTCATGTGGGTGGGAATAAAATGTGTAATCCCTGGCTCCCGTGTTGTGCGCCCTCCAAGCATCCACCAACTGGAGGGCATCTAGTTTCTTAGTAAGGGATTTTGGGAAAGCTTGGGAAGTGTGTGCGAGGCGGAGCTACGGTCCAAAAGAGGATTTGCCACCAGATTAAAATCACCACCCACCAATAGATGGGGGGACAAAAATTTATCCAGAGCACCAAAAAATTTAGAAAAAAAGGTAGCCTGTGCCGAATTTGGTGCATAGACATTAGCAATTGTAAGTTCTCGACCTGAAAGGGTGCCCTTAAGAATAATAAACCTACTGTCTGGATCACGATACACATGTTGAACCTCAAAAGGAAATGAGTTATGTAGAAAAATGGCCACTCCCCTACTCTTGGAGGAATGTAGGGTATAATACCCCTGCCTATAGGATCTATGAAAAAAGGTCGGGTGTTTTGCGGCTGCAAAATGTGTTTCCTGTAATAAGATGATTTTTGCTCCTAATCTTTTATATTGAAGAAAGGCTGTTTTGCGCTTATTTGGCGAATTGAAACCCTGGACATTATGTGAAATACATTGCATTACCATAATAAACAGAGCCTGCCACTATCATCATAAAAGTACACATTACAAGGATATCCCCTAAAGTTATTTGACTAGACATAGAAACCCGCAAGTCTGCATCAGACAGACATACAGGTGGCAGAACCAGCCTAGGGGACCTCCAGACCCCAACATAGGGGTCGTGACGTCCACAGACCGACATAATACCATCCACATGCACTAAAGTTTTAAGAAAAGAAAAAAAAAAAAAACAATGGAGAAGAAGCTTTAACATCTTCTATATTTGAAAGGGTAACTGAAGAACGTGGATCAGGCAGAAAAGTCGTCATACCTGATAAAACAAAAAGTTCAAACATTAAGGGGCCACATGGGCCCAAACCCTGTCTCCTTAGAACATGGAAAACAGAGCTGCCACCCCGCAATCGGGCGGCGACACCTCCGGCCATGTCAGGAGGCAGGGTGGGGTAACGTGTCAAAGAGTAGTACAACCATGAATTAATGGGCGCAATTAGGAGGGTCCAATGACCCTTGTTATACCTTAACCCGTACAGTTATCAATGCAAGGCATACAAAATATTCAGTATTGCAAAAATATCACAGCAACAACCACAGAAATACACAACCTGACAATGTAAAAAATAGAGAGCAAAATCCCTGTGTCCCAAATCTTAGTAAAGTCATAAAAAAACAATAGACCAAACCAAAGACTATCAAGACAATGAGTATTAGGCAAGTGAGAGTGGACACGTCAACCCGGTTCTTGTCTGACTCTCCTTCTATCCCTCCGTGGGGAAGGGGTATGCCAAATGGGAGAAATACGAGGGGTGGAGGGTGGACGTTGAGGTGATGGGGCATCCGCCAAGCCCAATTTGGCCAAGATTGCTCTACCTTCGGAGGGGATGTAGCTATATATGTGCTCCCATTGTGTGGAACTATCAGCTTAAAAGGGAAGCCCCACTTGTAGCGGATACGAGCTGAGAACAGGGCAGTTGTAACTTCTTTCATCTTTCTACGTTTCTCCAACGTGGCCGGGGAAACATCAGGATAGATTTGTAAAAACCGAGCCCTCAAAGGAGATTGTTGGAGTATTGCGAGCAGCTCTGAGGATTTCTTCCTTGGTCAGAAAATCCTTCATGCACAAGACAATATCCCTAGGCGGCTGTCAGCAGGAGGTTTAGGGCGTAGGGCTCTGTGGATGCGGTCACAAGCAAAAGATCCAGGGTCACGATCTGGGAGGAGTGACTTGAACAACTTGGTTATAATTAATGAAAGATCTGACATAGACTCCGGGATTCCCCTGATTCGCAGATTATTCCTGCGATTGCGATTGTCAAGATCCTCGACCTGCGCCTGCAGTTGTGAAAAGGCCGTTTGTAAATGATCATGTTCTCTGGAAAGTTCACCATAGGCCAGGCTAAGTTCATCGTGTTTGGTTTCCAAGCGGTCTGTCCTAGAGCCCAGCGTGGCTATTTCCTGAGAGAGAACATTAGTGCTTTTATGCAATTCTGATTGAAATTTGGCAGCTAGTTTGGCGTACATAGATTCCAAGCAGGACTCCAAGTCCCCTTTTGTGAGATGCTGTGTATTTTCGCTGACTAAGGCCGATAAGGGAGCGGTGGTATCCCGTGCGGGATCGGACAGGGATGCTTGCTCTGTATTGACTGGAGACATGCCGCAAATCTCGTGAGCCTTAAGGAGGTATGTTGTGAGGGACTTCTGAGCTTGTCCCTTTTTTTTCTTGGTGGACGGCATACAAGTAATCTCCCGGGGGTGATCAACTGAAAATTGGAATGTGAGTGAAGATTATAACCCCAGGGGACCTATAGCGCCCAAAATAGGTTCAGGGTTGTAGTTACATGGATGCTGTCAGATCCATATGCGATAACATTATATTGTAAAAATATTCAGCAAGCCTTGAGAGGGTGGTAGATAGAACATAAGTCGCAGCAATCCTGCAAAAAATTCACGTTGGAGCAAGATGATGGCACTGGATCCCAACTCAGGACATGAGAGGGACGGATGGGAAGCAGGAAGCAGAGGACCTCCAATTCTGAGCACAGGGGCCCCGCAGGGAGACACCCTCTGGGGCAGTATCAAGGCCCCAGTAGGCCTCTGAGCACAGTAAGGGCCACAGTCACAGAGGATGATGGATTCTGGGGCTATTAATATGTGGCCCACTCCCCAAAGCACTGTGGGGAGATCATAGTGACAGGATGCCGCCTGTACCCCCCACTCACTGTGTCCAGGTGAAAGGAGGCCTCTGGCAGAAGGTGTAGGCGGCAAACGTCGTCGCCGCCGCCGCGGGGAGCAGCAATACACAGCGGCGTCCCTCTCCCAGCCTCTGTGATACAGAGGACGCTGCAGACGTCCTCGGATGATCCCCCACAGCCCGGATGGCAGCGGGTGTGGATGGAAGACGCCGGAGCCCCGGCCCGCGCGGCCGCACCAGGCCGCGGATGTCCGCCGCCACGAGGGGCGGAAATGTCGCCCGGATTCCACCTCCCAGGTATCCGGAGTGACACCAGGGCCCTCCTCTGCTCCACTGTGATCCGCTGCTGCACGGATGGCAGCGGATTCCGAAAATCGGCGCCGGAGCTCCGGATTATGCGGCCGCTCCGGTCGCCATCTTGGACACGCCCCCCCACATTGGCTAATTTGGAAAGAATTTATTTGCAAATTATGGTGGAAAATAAGTATTTGGTCACCTACAAACAAGCAAGATTTCTGGCTCTCACAGACCTGTACCTTCTTCTTTAAGAGGCTCCTCTGTCCTGCACTCATTACCTGTATCAATGGCACCTGTTTGAACTTGTTATCAGTATAAAAGACACCTGTCCACAACCTCAAACAGTCACACTCCAAACTCCACTATGGTGAAGACCAAAGAGCTGTCGAAGGACACCAGAAACAAAATTGTAGACCTGCACCAGGCTGGGAAGACTGAATCTGCAATAGGCAAGCAGCTTGATGTGAACAAATCATCTGTTGGAGCAATAATTAGAAAATGGAAGACATACAAGACCACTGATAATCTCCCTCGATCTGGGGCTCCACGCAAGATCTCACCCCGTGGGGTCAAAATGATCACAAGAACGGTGAGCAAAAATCCCAGGACCACACGGGGGGACCTAGTGAATGACCTGCAGAGAGCTGGGACCAACGTAACAAAGGCTACCATCAGTAACACACTACGCCACCAGGGACTCAGATCCTGCAGTGCCAGACGTGTCCCCCTGCTTAAACCAGTACATGTCCGGGCCCGTCTGAAGTTTGCTAGAGAGCATTTGGATGATCCAGAAGAGGATTGGGAGAATGTCATATGGTCAGATGAAACCAAAATGGAACTGTTTGGTAGAAACACAACTCGTCGTGTTTGGAGGAGAGAGAATACTTGTCTGTTTTATTAGCTTTTGTACATTTAATATGGTGATTTGAAAAACAATAAAATATTTAATTAAAAAAAGGAAAGTAATTTCTCCCCTGCGTGAGATCTCTGATGTCTGTTAAGATGGGACTTCTGTGAATAACGTTTCCCACACACAGGACAGCAATACGGCTTCTCTCCCCCGTGTGAGATCTCTGATGTATAACAAGTTCTGATTTGTATACAAAACATTTCCCGCACTCAGAACAGGAATATGTCTGCTCCCCTGTGTGGGATCTCTGGTGTGTATAAAGATGGGACTTCACTGTAAAACATTTCCCGCACTCGGGACAGGAAAGTGGCTTCTTCCTTGTGTGAGATCTCTGATGTTTGGAAAGATGGGACTTCTGTGAAAAACATTTCCCACACTCAGGACAAGAATATGGCTTCTCACCTGTGTGAGATCTCTGATGCTGGTAAAGACTGCACTTCACTGAAAAACATTTCCCACACTCAGGACAGGAATACGGCTTCTCCTCTGTGTGAGATCTCTGATGTATGGAAAAACTGGACTTCTGTGAAAAACATTTCCCGCACTCAGGACAGGAATAAGGCTTCTCCCCTGTGTGAGATCTCTGATGTGTGTAAAGATAGCACTTTCTTGAAAAACATTTCCCGCAGTCAAGACACAAATAAGGCTTTTCTCCTGTGTGAGATCTCTGATGTGTGACAAGTTCTGATTTTTTTCCAAAACATTTTCCGCACTCAGGACAGGAATGTGGTTTCTCCTCCATGTGAGATGTCTGATGTCTGTGATAAAGGGACTTGTCCGAAAAACATTTCCCGCACTCAGAACAGGAGTATGGTTTTTTTTCCCCCGTGTGAAGCCTTTGATGTGTGACAAGACTTGATTTTATTACAAAACATTTCCCGCACTTAGGACAGGAATATGGCTTTTCACCCGTGTGAGACCTTTTATGAACTTTAAGGTTGTATTTAGAACTGAAACATTTCCCGCACTTAGGACAAGGATACGGCTTCTCCCCCGTGTGAGATCTTTTATGCACATTAAGACGAGATTTATAATGGAAACATTTCCCGCACTCGGTACAGGAGAAGCTCTTTCTTGTTGGAAGGCCGGCCCGGTCCCACACAGTCTGAGGTTCCTCAGGATACGAGGAAACCGATGGTTCATCTACAATGGGTGGTGCCGGATGGACATTGGAGGGAGCCGGGTTTTCTCCTGGACTATACTGTGTGATGTCCTCATCTTCTACTTTCCAGTCTGGAGACAAAGTGAGACAATCCTCGGAGGTTTTCCTCATCTCCCGGCCATGGACTAAAATACAAAGACAAAGAGGATTACTAGACAGGAGCTGATTGGTTCCCCCAAAACAGGACTCCACCCACATCAGGCAGCTTGGTCTCTGAGGAGCTTACAATTCCACCCTCAAGTGAACTAGGAAATGGCTCCTCTGATCTCCTACCAGGTCATTTCTTTATTCATGGACCTTAGTCAGAGAGTGAGGAAACAACCAGAACTGTCTTTTACAGGAGGGACAGTGATGAGGGGATTATAGGACGAGGGTCCCCACCCCCTCTATCACTCATCGCCATCTTCCCAACACAAGAAGTACTGCACTTCCTTATTTAGTCCATGATTTAGTCATGAAGAATAGCGGGGCTGAGCCCCACCAGAGGTCAGAGAGTGAGGATGGGGGGAGAACAACCAAGATGAAGACTGGACTGATCCTGAAGACCACCATCATTGGGGTATTGACTCCTCCCTCATTATCACTTTCTGTTTAAGGGTCCAAAGTTGGAGGATGTTATCACATTATTATCACCATGTAAAAGTCTGTGCTCCAATCACATCATCCGATATAAAATGTCCAGCTGGGAGGAAATGGGTGTAACAAAAGAGAATCCATATTATGTGTATATATATAGCAGTGGGGGGGGGGAGGGGGGAGAGCAGAAGTCAGGACTATGGAATGTACAACATAGAGTATATAGTGCAGGGGTCAGTAGTATGTAATGTACAACATAGAGTATATAGTGCAGGGGTCAGGAGTATGTAATGTACAACATAGAGTATATAGTGCAGGGGTCAGGAGTATGTAATGTACAACATAGAGTATATAGTGCAGGGGTAAGGAGTATGTAATGTACAACATAGAGTATATAGTGCAGGGGTCAGGAGTATGTAATGTACAACATAGAGTATATAGTGCAGGGGTCAGGAGTATGTAATGTACAACATGGAGTATATAGTGCAGGGGTCAGGAGTATGTAATGTACAACATAGGCAGGGGTAAGGAGTATGTAATGTACAACATAGAGTATATAGTGCAGGGGTCAGGAGTATGTAATGTACAACATAGAGTATATAGTGCAGGGGTCAGGAGTATGTAATGTACAACATAGAGTATATAGTGCAGGGGTCAGGAGTATGTAATGTACAACATAGAGTATATAGTGCAGGGGTCAGGAGTATGTAATGTACAACATAGAGTATATAGTGCAGGGGTCAGGAGTATGTAATGTACAACATAGAGTATATAGTGCAGGGGTCAGGAGTATGTAATGTACAACATGGAGTATATAGTGCAGGGGTCAGGAGTATGTAATGTACAACATGGAGTATATAGTGCAGGGGTCAGGAGTATGTAATGTACAACATAGAGTATATAGTGCAGGGGTCAGGAGTAGGGTACAACAGAGTATATAGTAGGTAATGTACAATATAAATTATAAAGTGTAATGGTCAGCACTCATAATATTGGTATTCAGCAATCAGTGGTGGCCTAGATGTCCACATGAGACAAGGTGCAGAGGTCCCACACTGCTGCCTCCTGAGACTGAATCCATTGTTTCTATGTGTTTATCAGATGATGGGGGATCTAGGTGGATCCTCCGTACTGCTCTCTCCTTTACAATAAAGTCTCCTCTTACCCGGTGATGTGAGGGGCGGCTGATTGTCCATCATGACGTCCTTGTAGAGATCCTTGTGTCCTTCTAAATACTCCCACTCCTCCATGGAGAAATAGACAGTGACACCCTGACACCTTATAGGAACCTGACACACACAATGATACAGTCACCATCCAGACACATCCCTTGTCTGTTACTGGAGAATGTCCCAGAATTCCCGGCACCGCTCACCTCTCCTGTCAGCAGCTCCATCATCTTCTTGGTGACTTCTAGAATCTTCTGTGTCTTCTGTCTTGTAGGGATCAGGGATGGAGGTGGGGGGATGGTGATGGGATTCTGGATTCTCGAGGATCTTGTGGTCATACGATGAGATCTCCTTCTGGTGTCATTGTCGGTAGATTTCTTCATGACTCCTGTACAGTTCTGTGTTATACAAAGAGAAATCTCACTCTCCCACAGGAATGTAACATCATGGGCCCCTGGACGAAGTCATTCACTGGGGCCCCTACCACCTACCCAAACTTACACACTCTCAAAAATGAAAGTATAAATAATTGATAGAATGAAACATATATTTCTAAGGACTTTCAATATGATCAATATTAAAGAAGAAAACATGGCATAAACCAAAGACTAATCAACACAGGGCACAGTACAGGGGGGAGGGCAGGAGGGCACAGTACGGGGGGGGGGGGGGGGGGCAGGAGGGCACAGTACAGGGGGGTAAGATGGCACAGTACAGGGGGGCAGGAGTGCACAGTACAGGGGGGAAGGAGAACACAGTACAGGGGGGGCAAGAGGGCAAAGTACAGGGGGATCAGGAGGGCACAGTACAGGGGGATCAGGAGGGCAAAGTACAGGGGGATCAGGAGGGCACGGTACAGGGGGGGCAGGAGGGCACGGTACAGGGGGATCAGGAGGGCACGGTACAGGGGGATCAGGAGGGCACGGTACAGGGGGATCAGGAGGGCACGGTACAGGGGGATCAGGAGGGCACGGTACAGGGGGACAGGAGGGCACGGTACAGGGGGATCAGGAGGGCACGGTACAGGGGGGACAGGAGGGCACGGTACAGGGGGATCAGGAGGGCACGGTACAGGGGGATCAGGAGGGCACGGTACAGGGGGATCAGGAGGGCACGGTACAGGGGGATCAGGAGGGCACGGTACAGGGGGCAGGAGGGCACGGTACAGGAGGATCAGGAGGGCATAGTAAAGGAGGATCAGGAGGGCATAGTAAAGGGGATCAGGAGGGCACAGTACAGGGGGGGCAGGAGGGTACAGTACAGGGGGGGCAGGAGGGCACAGTACAGGGGGGGCAGGAGGGCACAGTACAGGGGGGCAGGAGGGCACAGTATAGGGCGATCAGATGGGCACAGTACAGGGGGCAGGAGGGCACAGTACAGGGGGATCAAGAGGGCACAGTACAGGGGGGATCAGGAGGGCACAGTGCAGGGGGGGCAGGAGGGCAAAGTACAGGAGGGCACAGTATCAGGGGATCAGAAGGTCACAGTACAGGGGAATGTAGGAGAGCACACTACAGAAGGGCGAGAGGGCACAGTACGGGGGGGGGGGGGGGGCAGAAGGGCACAGTACAGGGGGAGTCAGGAGGGCACAGTACAGGGGGAGTCAGGAGGGCACAGTACAGGGGGGATGAAGGGAACAGTACAAAGGGAATGGAGAGCACAGTTAAGGGGAGATGGAGGGCACATTACAGAGGGGATAGAGGGCACAGTAAAGAGGGGATGTAAACCACGGTACAGAAGGGATGGAGGCACGGTACAGAGGGGATGGAGGGCACGGTACAGAGGGGATGGAGGGCACGGTACAGAGGGGATGGAGGGCACGGTACAGAGGGGATGGAGGGCACGGTACAGGGGGGATGGAGGGCACGGTACAGAGGGGATGGAGGGCACGGTACAGAGGGGATATAGGGCACGGTACAGAGGGGATGGAGGGCACGGTACAGAAGGGATGGAGGGCACGGTACAGAAGGGATGGAGGGCACGGTACAGAGGGGATGGAGGGCACGGTACAGAGGGGATGGAGGGCACGGTACAGGGGGGATGCAGGGCACAGTACAGGGGGGATGCAGGGCACAGTACAGGGGGGATGGAGGGCACAGTACAGGGGGGATGGAGGGCACAGTACAGGGGGGATGGAGGGCACAGTACAGGGGGGATGGAGGGCACAGTACAGGGGGGATGGAGGGCACAGTACAGGGGGCATGGAGGGCACAGTACAGGGGGCATGGAGGGCACAGTACAGGGGGGATGGAGGGCACAGTACAGGGGGGATGGAGGGCACAGTACAGGGGGGATGGAGGGCACAGTACAGGGGGGATGGAGGGCACAGTACAGGGGGGATGGAGGGCACAGTACAGGGGGGATGGAGGGCACAGTACAGGGGGGATGGAGGGCACAGTACAGAGGGCATGGAGGGCACAGAACAGAGGGGATGAAGGGAACAGTAAAGAGGGGATGTAAACCACGGTACAGGGGAGATGGAGGGCACGGTACAGAGGGGATGGAGGGTACGGTACAGGGGGGATGGAGGGTACGGTACAGGGGGGATGGAGGGCACGGTACAGGGGGGGTGGAGGGCACGGTACAGGGGGGGTGGAGGGCACGGTACAGGGGGGGGGTGGAGGGGACGGTACAGGGGGGGTGGAGGGGACGGTACAGGGGGGACGGTACAGGGGGGACGGTACAGGGGGGACGGAGGGGAAGGTACAGGGGGGACGGAGGGCACGGTACAGGGGGGACGGAGGGCACGGTACAGGGGGGATGGAGGGGACGGTACAGAAGGGATGGAGGGCACGGTACAGAGGGGATGGAGGGCAGGGTACAGGGGGGTACGGTACAGGGGGGATGGAGGGGACGGTACAGGGGGGATGGAGGGGACGGTACAGATGGGATGGAGGGGACGGTACAGAGGGGATGGAGGGCACGGTACAGAGGGGATGGAGGGCACGGTACAGAGGGGATGGAGGGCACGGTACAGAGGGCATGGAGGGCACGGTATAGAGGGCATGGAGGGCACGGTACAGAGGGGATGGAGGGCACGGTACAGAGGGGATGGAGGGCACGGTACAGAGGGCATGGAGGGCACGGTACAGGGGGGATGGAAACCACGATACAGAGGGGGATGGAAACCACGGTACAGAGGGGATGGAGGGGACGGTACAGGGGGGATGGAGGGGACGGTACAGAGGGGATGGAGGGCACAGTAAAGAGGGGATGGAGGGCACAGTACAGGGGGGATGGAGGGCACAGTACAGGGGGGATGGAGGGCACAGTACATAGGGGATGCAGGGCATGGTACAGAGGGGTAGGAGGGCATAGTACATGGGGCAGGAGGTCACAGTACAGGGGGGCACAGTACATGGGGCAGGAGGTCACAGTACAGGGGGATCAGGAGGGCACACTACGTGGGGCAGGAGGTCACAGTACAGGAGGGATGGAGGGCTGAGTACAGTACAGAGGGGTTAGAAGGTACATTACAGGGTGCAGTAATGTATAATACAGTAGAAATGGTCTCCTCAAGCACAGCAACACAGGGAAGCTGCTGTCACAGATCTTGCCTGTTCTGACAGCCTGTCACTGGGTTATAGAACTCTGGGATAGGCAATAAAACCCCCCAATAGTACACCCCCCTATACAAATCACTAAACAGTCCATAAAATGTTGAAAATCCTTATCATTGTGGAGAAAAGTCTAATTGAATTTTTATGACCTCATCTCTGTAACTTAAAAGATAACATCATCTGCTGTGCCAAGGAGGAGGGGTAACAGCCGGGATGACATTATATCCTCTCCTCTCTTCTGCAGTAAACGGAAACTACAATTCCCATCAATTACAGGTGAATGTGGGCGAGTACACTAGACCTGTATGTGTTGAATGTGTCTGAGAGTCTCGGTCCGCCCACCACTGCAAGTGGGGCTGAATGACATCTCTGCTTCCTGCAGAAAGAACTACAGAAGGGATGTGCCAAGACCAGCGGCTGGGAGTAAAGGAGGCGGAGCAGCCATCGGTCTTACAAACAGGAAACCAAAGAGAATTAATGGTTTGATTTGAGTTCTGCTTTAAATTTACAATCAGAATAACATCTCCCCACCTGTACCTTCCTCCCACAGTTCCAGCACTTTGTAGGGGTTAAGGAAGAGGTGGAGCATCTTACTACTGCTGCTGCTTGTGTGGGCGGGATATGTACTGCTCTGATCACATGGGATGAACAGGAGAGGAGGGCCATGGGGATTGGAGCTGTACATATCCCGCCCACACAAGAAGCAGCAGTAAGATGCTCTGTCTCAGAGTTCCTGAACTCCTGCAAAGCAGAAGAAAGTAGAGGGAGGAGATGTCATTCTGATTGTAGATGGAGCCCAGTGACAGGCTGCTGCTGTACCCACAGCTCAGATTCCAGGACACTGCCCAGGACACAGCCATCCTGGGACAGCTTAGTAAAAAGCTTGACTGACTATCTTGTAATATTGTTATCATGTAATGCAAGATTATCAAGGGGCCCATGAGAAGTGCCCTGCTCTCCCATAATCCCTCACTTCTATGGTCAGATCTAGATTTATTCTCCAGGGATTGGCCACAATGTGCCGACTCAGCAAAGGACAGACATCTCCATCCAATGATATGATGACAATGGGGTCAGATTTATAGCTCCTTCTAGAAGTCATATAATAGAGTCACTAATGGTTTACTAGTAAGGCTCACTGACCCACCAGGAAATGTCACCCATGGATTTAGTGGTCAGTGGGCGTGGCATGCTGGTAATCATGGGTCTCCCTGATTGGACTAAAGCTGTGATTGCTCTCTTCTATAACCAATGCCGCCATCTTGTGCTATAACCAAATCTCATAGAGTTCGGACACTTTATGTATTCATAGTTCTTGTGTGTGGATGTCGTTATTGATTACAGAACATCAGAAGACTTCAAGTGACTCTGAATACCTCCCAGTGTACAGCCGAGTCAGATTTAACCCCTTCATTACACTCACCTCTCCAGTCAGCAGGCTGAGGATCTCCAGGGTGAGCTTCAATATTGTCTCATTCCGGGGAAATTCCTTCCTTACAATCTTCACAAAACCCAAAGTCTGCTGATTGTCCATCATGACGTCCTTGTAGAGATCCTTGTGTCCTTCTAAATACTCCCACTCCTCCATGGAGAAATAGACAGTGACACCCTGACACCTTATAGGAACCTGACACACACAATGATACAGTCACCATCCAGACACATCCCTTGTCTGTTACTGGAGAATGTCCCAGAATTCCCGGCACCGCTCACCTCTCCTGTCAGCAGCTCCATCATCTTCTTGGTGACTTCTAGAATCTTCTGCATGTTGTGTCTCTCAGGGTTTAGGAAGTCACATGGAGGCACTGTGATGGTCATATGATCACCTGACTTCAGAAGAGGAAATCTCTGTATTGAGGAACCAATAGGAATATCATGTTTAGACTCCCAGAATCCTCCTCACCTCTCCGGTCAGGTCTGTGTTTTATTAATAGAGATAAGAGTGATGTCATGTGACCTCCCAGAATCCTCCTCACCTCTCCGGTCAGGTCTGTGTTTTATTAATAGAGATGAGTGATGTCATGTGACCTCTCAGAATCCTCCTCACCTTTCCCGGTCAGCAGGTAGATGATCTCCAGGGTGAGGTTTAGTATCTTCTCAGTCATGTGACTCCGTTCCTCCTCCATCCTCATTGGTGCCATCATGTGATCTATACAGGTCTCCTTGTAGACGGATAACTTTGGGAAATGAAAGCAAGAATTACACCCCCCGGCCACTTTATTAGGTCCACCTTGCTAGTGCCAAGAAAATCTCCCCCCCACCATGACACCACCACCAGCCTGAACCATTGATACAAGGCAGGATGGATCCATGCTTTCATGTTGTTTATGCCAAATTCTGACCCTACCATCGGAATGTCGCATCAACCAGTCTGCCCATTCTCCTCTGACATCAACAAGGCATTTTCCTTCACACACAACTGCCGCTCACTGGATATTCTTCCTTTTTCAGACTATTCTCTGTAAACCCTAGAGATGGTTGTGTGGGAAAATCCCAGGAGATCAGCAGTGTTTGAAATACCTAGACCAGCCTGCCTGGCACCAACAACCACACCACATTCAAAGTCACTTAAATCCCCTTTCTTCCCCATTCTGATTTCAGTTTGAACTTCAGCAAGTTGTCTTCGCCACATCTAGATGTCTAAATGCATTAAGTTGCTGCCATGTGATTGGCTGATTAGCTTTAGCAATCTGTGTTACCCAGCAATTGAACAAGTGGACCTGATAGGGTGGCCAGTGAGTGTATTTGGATGGTATTGGTCACACAATAATAGGATGTGGATGTGAGGGGGGAATAGGAGGGTTGCTGGACATCTAATCACCTCAATACCGGACACTTCCACCCCCTTCCTGACCAGAACACTTTTCAGATATCAGTGCTGTTGCAGTTTGGATGACAATTGTGCGGTCATATACAGTACTATTCCAGGCGCTGCCTAGTCTGTGCAAAAATTGTGTCCCATTCCCAACGTGTCCAACTGCATGAAAATCCATCCAAATTCAATATAAATCCCTCATAAATACTGAATAGAAAAATAAAATCATCAATATTAATAGTTCTTTTATATCAGTTGATGTGCTTGTGCCTCTCCAATCACACTGCGCCAACCGACGTGCGGAATAAAGTGCCTTGTGCCTCTCCAATCACACTGCGCCAACCGACCGTGCGGAATAAAGTGCCTTGTGCCTCTCCAATCACACTGCGCCAACCAACCGTGCGGAATAAAGTGCCTTGTGCCTCTCCAATCACACTGCGCCAACCGACCGTGCGGAATAAAGTGCCTTGTGCTTCTCCTTTCATCAAAGTGCAGATCTCGTGCTCCCCCTCCAGTGCTCCCCCTCCAGTGCTCTCCCTCCAGTGCTCCCCTCCAGTGCTCCCCCTCCAGTGCTCCTCCACCACAGGATGTGGACTCTTACACTGGAATAGGAGTCCTATGTGCTGTGTCATGGTCCTGGTTAGTCTGGAGCTTGTAGTCCTCCTGGATGACTGTGTACAATTCCCCCCCCAATATATCTTACAACTGATGGTTCATCTCATGATGTATGCAGGGAGGAGATAACAACAATCACCCACATGGTGTCATTCCATTCATTACAAAATTCCTTTACAGCAGGGTGGATAAAAATCAATGACTTTTAAAAAAAATCATAAAAATCTGATTTTTTTTTTTAAATCTGATTTTTTTAAATAAAATGCTTTTTGGGGAAAATATATTACCATCCAAAGGTTTTTCCATCATGAAATAAAGATTAGTTTTTTAATTATGTAGAATAAGGCTGTATATGTTAAATTTTTTTGGTAAATAAATTCCATGAATCCATTCACAATGTCATGCTCTTCCAGAGGTCTTTGTAAGATTATTGGGCAGTTTCTCTGCCTACAAGATATTATCACAGATGATTGGTTTACTTTTGCAGTTCTCAAAACTGAATTTGACTCAGCGGAGATCACATGCCCTCTTCTTCACAGCAAAAATGTTATAACATGAACAGAGTTAAGAAAAAGACCTTAACCTCCCTGGCGGTCTGATTATTTCATATTTTTTGTGCTGAAAGCGGTACCATTATTTTGCATGGAAATATGTAGTTTTTTATTGTAGGCTGTAATTTTTAGGAATAACTCACTGAAATCTGTCCGAACAAGAGTCTAAATCATACATTTAATTCAATAATATAATCAAACCAAAAACACTGAAATGTGAAATATAGCGCCAAGTTCGCACATCGCTGCGCAAAGTCGCAAAATCGTTTTCAGTGTCTGATGAGGAATTTCCCCCACGAATCATTATCACTCAATTCTGCAAGTGGTTCTGATTTACTATCGCTGTTCTCTAGCCGGTCTAAAACCGCTTTTGACCTAAAGGGACGCTTTTTGGACGCCATGGACTTTTCTACGTTTCCAGGCAGAAAGAACAATCAAAATGCAGACCGGGGACAGGACAAAGCACTCGGGACAAAATGTATGTGAAATGGGTTGAAACAGCAATGTTTTACTATGTAAAATCGTTTTGAAAAAAAATGACATTTTTTTTACATTTTCAAATTTCCCGCCGCCGGCGGCGCCCGTACGTCCCGACGTCACAGGGACCGGAACACAGGAGCCGGATGCCGGCATCAGCCGGAGGAGATGGCCTGGGGACGCTGCAGGGGACACATCGTGGGAGCGAAGGACAAGGTAAGCTCTGCAGGGACCCCCTGAGCAACGCCGCATGGTAAGCCCGAGTGTAGCTCAGGGGGGTTACCGCTTTTGGCACTGACATTTTACCCCGAGCTACACTCGGGAATACTGCCAGGGAGGTTAATCCTAACTTCTACAAACCTATGAATACAGAATCAACCCCTTCAGTGCTAAGGTGCAAGAAGTTCAGTGAATAGAATAGAAACAATATTTTTCTGATTGGAGTGGAATAGATCTGCACAAGAAGAAGAAAGTGAAACTAAGTGTGTGAGGGGGGGGAGGGGCTGACAGTCTAAGTTTCTTAAAATATATAGATTTTGTTTAGCCAAATTAGGTAACAAACATGGATGTTTAAGCAAATCCCATATGCTGGAATGTTATTGTTTCAGTTGAATAAATCTATTTAAATTGTTATTATTAAGGTAATGATTAGAGATGAGCGAATCGAACATGACGAAGTGGAATTCGTTTCGAAGATTAGGAAAAAATTCGATTCGCGCCGAATCCGAAAATTAGCAAACTTCGGATGCACGAATCGAATTTTCCCAAAAATGGCGGCGACATGTGTGGCGACGGAGCGGGGATCTCTGGGAAGGCGCGCAGACAAGGCGTGCTGACCCATAATGCATTCATTCATGACATGTGATCGCATTAGCCAATCAGCAGCTAGCCAGCCAGCACTGTGTAATGGTGGAGCTATAAATCGCGGCCATCTTAGAATTGTCCATTAGCGTCCGGTCATTCAAGAGAGACAGACCTGTCTGTATTAGGGACAGAGTTAGGGCCACAGAGACTTTAGGGCCACAGAATCGTTACTCAGGGCCACAGAATCGTTACTCAGGGCCACAGGAATCGTTACTCAGGGACACAGAATCGTTACTCAGGGACAGACACAGAATCGTTACTACTCAGGGACAGACACAGAATCGTTACTCAGGGACACAGAATCGTTACTCAGGGACACAGAATTGTTACTCAGAATTGTTACTCAGGGACACAGAATTGTTACTCAGGGACACAGAATCATTACTTTCTGCTTCACAACCACTATTGTACGTTCAAAGAGTTAAATCCTGTTTTATGTTTGGGGTGCTTATGGAATTAAAGAGTATGTCAGACAACACGCAGAGGAGTGGCAGAGGAGGCAATGTTTCAGGAGCGAGCAGACGTGGCAGCAGAGGAAGGGGTCAAGGCAGCACTAGTCGCAGCCAGAGGCCAGTGCTCCCGGTGTCATCCAGCGGTCGTGTCTCCACCGACAACCCTGCCGTCATCGATTGGTTGGCTCGGTCGTCTTCCTCTTCCCAGGTCACCTCTGACACCTACAGCCAACGGTCGGTGGGTACATCAGACACAACCGTTCGTTGGCATGGCCCGGGAGCAAGCCCACTGAAATCACGTGTCCTCGACCTGCCCCTGTCCTTTGCTGTTCCCTCACCAAGCGAAGTATCGCATGCTGTGGGCTCAGCCCCACTGTACAGTGAGGAAGAGCTAACAGAGGGCGGTCAGGAACGGGGGGAGACATCCGCCTCTTCAGCAGCCAGGCGAAGAAGTACTGGCGAGGAGAGTGGCTCGGTAGCCGGTCTAGAGACAGGTCTGTCTCCTGACCCACACGCAGCCGAGGGGGCTAGTAGTGACGCGGAGACCCTAATTGATGATGATGAGGCTGATCGCACTTGGCAGCCTCGTCGTCATCAGGCTATTGCTTCCGCATCATCAGGAGAAGAGGGTGCCAGCTTGCCAGCGAGCAAAACAGTCAGTGGGTTGCCCAGGAGGCAGCAGGGTCGCAGCAGTGTCAGTGGAGGCAAACGGCCACGGAGTAGAGCACCAGCTCCACTGCAGCCTACCACCACGGCCAGTAGTGGTGCCGGTGTGCACGGAGGAAGTAGCAGTCAGCCAGTGAGGAGTAGCGGGGGCAAAGTTTCCTACTCGGCGGGTGTGGCAATTTTTCGTCAAGCCGCCCGAGGAAGTAAACGTAGCCGTATGACGACTATGTGGCCAGAAAGTCAAGCGTGGCCAGGGGGCCCATGTTGGGACTACAGCGTTGCGTCAGCATATGCAGCATCGCCATTCGGTGGCCTGGGAAAAACCGTGATAAAGATACGGCGGTTCTGCCTGCCCCAGCCCCCGCTCCATCACCCGCTCCGTTTACTTGCTCCGTCACCCGATGTCAATCGCCCTCTATCAGCCAGTCAAGGCTCCAACACCTCTGCTGAGGGGAGTTGTCGCTTGTTGGCATCTTCCGCTCGTTCAGATGCTCCTTCTCCTGCTACTCCTCTTCACGGATTCCGTCAGCAGTCTTTCTTGGAATCTGTTTCCAAGAGACAACAGTTTGCGAGCACGCACCCGATGGTGCAAAAGCTGAACGTCCTCCTGTCCAAGTTGCTGGTGCTGCAGTCCCTCCCTTTCCAAGTGGTGGACTCAGCACCTTTCCGAGAAATGATGGCTTGTGCGAGCTGCGGTGGAGAGTGCCAAGCCGGCATTTCTTCGCCAAAAAGGCAGTGCCAGCCCTGCATTCACATGTAGAAGAGATGGTGGGCCAGTCTTTGAGCATGTCGGTCTCTGCCAAAGTGCACGGCAGCGCCGACGTGTGGAGCTGTAACTACGGTCAGGGACAGCACATGTCATTTACGGCCCACTGGGTGAACGTGGTGCCGGCACAGCCGCACCAGCAACTTGGACAGGTCACGCCGCTTTTGCCTCCACGTTTGCACGTCCTTGGTCCAGCAAAGATGTCCGCCTCTACACACCTCTTCTTCCGCCGTGTGCTCAGCCGCCACCCCCGTGCCAAGTCCCATTACCCGACCGGCATATCACATGTGCAGGGCGCAACGGTGTCACACTGTGCTGCACCTGGTATGCCTTGGCGAACGTAGTCACACAGGGGGAGGAACTTCTGAGTGTAATGAACAGAGAAATCGACAGATGGCTGTCTCCGCGCAAACTGAAAATTGGAACCATGTTGACCGACAACGGAAAGAACATGGTGTCTGCTCTGCGTCAAGGAAGGTTGTGCCATGCGCCATGCATGGCTCACGTGTTCAATTGGTTGTCAAGCGGTCCTAAAATCCACCATCCCACTGCAAGACATCCTTAAAATGTCACGTAAACTTTGCATGCATTTCAGCCATTCCTACACCGCAAAGCACACCCTCCTTGAGCTGCAGCGGCAGAACGGAATTCCACAGCATCGCCTGATCTGCGACGTTGCAACAAGGTGGAATTCAACCCTACATATGTTAGACCGCCTTTACGAACAGCGAAAGGCCATCACCGATTTCCTGATGTTACAAGCGGATAAAGGTACTCCCCTGTGTAACTTAGATGTCAGCCATTGGCAGCTCATGCGTGACACCTGCCGCTTGCTCAGGCCCTTTGAGGAGGCCACGCTATTCGTGAGTCGGCAGGACTATGGGATGAATGACGTCATTCCTCTGTTGCACGTCCTGGAACAAATGCTGTTAACAATGGCTGGTCAGGGTGCGGTAGACGTGGCGCACAGATCTCAACGCCACATGACCCCTGTGGGGGCAGGACAGGAAGAAGAGGAGAAGGTAGAGGGGACATTGGTGCTCAGGAATTATTGAGTGAAATGGGTGGTTTTTCCACTCAGCGGACAGGAGTGGAGGAGCAGGAGCATCTGGTAGAGGAGGAGGAGGAGACAGAGGGACCCAGACGCACCGTGGCAGTATGCTGTGGAGATGGAGGCAGGGAGTCCCTCGCATTCCTTGGCACAAATGGCCCATAGCATGCTCGGTTGCTTGCGTAGCGACAGCCGAATAATAACCATCAGACAGAGGGATGACTTTTGGCTGTCCACCTTGTTGGACCCTCGCTACCGTTCAAAAATGGTGGCCTTTTTCACACCTGCTGAGAGGGAGGCCAAAATAAAGTACTATAAAAACCACCTATGTAGTCAGTTGGTCTCTGCCTTTCTGCGCCAACGTCCATCCTCAGACACTGTGGGCCCTGTGCGCTCGCGTTCCGCTGCCATGGCAGCAGGGGAGGGGTGGGGTGGTAGGAGCAGTGGCAGCTCCACCAGCAGCGGCTGCCTCAGTCTGCAGTCGATGATGAATAGCTTTCTTCACCAGCGCAGTGAGGAAACTACTAACCAGCCGCAGCAGCAGCAGCATCAGGTGGACCTGGAGCAGGACTCAAACAACAGGCTTAGGCCTACTTGGACAGTACCCTGCCAACCGAGGTAGACAATCCCCTTGACTACTGGGCAACGAAACTTGACCTTTGGCCCCAAACTAGCTGAATTTGCCCTTGAAAGGCTGTCATGCCCGGCCAGTAGCGTGGCATCGGAGCGCGTGTTTAGTGCGGCAGGAGGTATTGTAACTCCGCGGAGGGACACGACTGTCCACCCAAAGTGTGGAGAGACTCACGTTTGTGAAAATGAATCAGGCGTGGATTAGTCTGGATTTCAAACCACCAGTTCCTGACACAACTGACTAAATCCGCCATGAATCATGCCCCAAACATGTTATTATTTTTAACATAGGCCTCTGTATGGCCTTCAATTTAAGCTGCTTACGCTTCGCCACTCTGCCATGGGCCCCTGTACCGCCTCCTCTTGCTGCTGCCAGGTCCAGAGTCTGTCATGGGTCCCTGTACGGCCTCCCATTGCTGCTGACTTCATCGCCAGACTCTGCCATGTGCCACTTTCAGGTCTCCTTACACTGTTGGTGGGTTCCATTTTGTGATAGGGTGCTGTATGGCCTTCCATTGCTGCTGCCTCCACCGCCACCCTGCGCCTCTGTCGTCTGCTCACACTGCTGACGGCTTCCGCTTTTTAACCGAGGCCTGTGTTTGGCTTCCGAATACTGCTGCATCCACCGCCACCCTGCGCCATGTGTCTCTGTCGTCTGCTCACGCTGCTGACGGCTTCCGCTTTTTAACCTAGGCCTGTGTTTGGCTTCCGAATACTGCTGCATCCACCGCCCGCCCACTGCTGCTGCCCGGCCTGTAATCTGTCTGGGCCCCTGTACCGCCTCCTCATGCTGCTGCCAGGCCCGTAATCTGTCATGGGGCCCCTGTACCGCCTCCTCATGCTGCTGCCAGCCCGTAATCTGTCATGGGCCCCTGTACCGCCTCCTCATGCTGCTGCCAGGTCCAGAGTGTGTCATGGGTCCCTGTACGGCCTCCCATTGCTGCTGTCTCTATCGCCCACACTCTGCCATGTGCCACTTTCAGGTCTCCTCACACTGCTGGTGGGTTCCATTTTGTCATAGGGTGCTGTATGGCCTCCCATTGCTGCTGCCTCCACCGCCACACTGTGGCTCCACACTCTGGTTTTGGCCCCCCGTGACTGCCCAAATGAGTGAAGTGTGCGGTGATTCTAAGATTGACGGCACTCATCTGCATGTCATACTGACTGACAGTATTATTTCTCTTCCCCAGCAGACTCCAAGGGCATTTAAATTAAAGGTACAGTGTTCTGCACTAATATAAAGGCTCTCTGAAGCCTAGAAACACCCTTTTATAAGTTAAATTCGCAGCGAATATATTCGCCTCGAATCGAATTTATTCCGCGAATTCGGCGAATCAGCCGAATCGAATTTTTGAATAATTCGCTCATCTCTAGTAATGATTATTTTTCTCCTTCCTAAGTACAACAGAAAAGTTGTCCAAATATGAATGATTAACCTATTAAACTGGGGATAAAAAACTAATATGAAAAGTTGTTATTCTAACAATCTTCATCTACTTGTATATTAAAGTCATACCAGCAAGAATTAGTCTTTATGTAGAAAACTAGGATTTACATCAAGCCTCACTGACTAGTGATTTCAATCAGTTTGATTTCAATCAAATCCACCCTGCTTTACAGCAAACCATATACACTCACAATTGTATATAATATATACAAGAGTGGGAGGACTACTATAATGTCCTTCCAGAAGGAGAGAGGGTCCTGTCCGGCCGTCATTGTACTACAATACACCGGGTGGGAACCAGTTCAGGACTTCTATGGAGGAAGAGGACGGACATGACGGGGGGTTACTGGGTGTAAATAGGAAATAACATCTTATTACCTCCTCTGCTGCCACTTCCAACATTGTCTCCTCTCTACTTCCTGTCTGTACCTGACATCACTTCCTGTCTGTACCTGACATCACTTCCTGTCTGTATTCCATTGAGACTTCCTGTCTGGGTAGAAGTGAGATCACCACCTTGTGGGGCTCAGAGGAACTGCAGCCCGAGAAGCGTCTGGTAGTGTGACCCCGGCCTTGTGCTGGGTGTGTATGGACTGTAGATCCTTATAGAGGGGTCACCTCCACTCCCACCAAGGGGGACAGAAATATATATGACTGCTCGGGGGAGGGGTTTTGGCCGCTTTGATTTTGCAGTAACATTGATTGCAGAATTTTAGTCCTGTAGAACATCTGGTATATGGATACAAAGCCCCCCAGCTGGGAGTAAAGGGTGGAAATGGCTGGTGACCCCCAGATTTGGGCAATGATGTCATCACTATAAATGGATATAAAACCCGCGCTATGTGTAACAACTCCAAACCTACAAAAACCTTCTAGCGGACTGCTGCTGTAACAAAGGGAAGGATTCCCTGTCATCTAGAAGAGCATTATGTGTCACAGCGCTGTCCTATTGTGTGTGCACAGAAATCATCACAAATACACTACAAATATGTGGAGACATTCACAGATAAAGAGCTCGGGGCTCCAAATCCTATTCTCTGCACATCCACAATGCTTCCACTTTACACCCTTCATTGGTCTTATGGGGTTTATCAATAAATGAAGGAAACTGAACCGTGTGCAAATCCATCCACAACATAAAGTGATTTGTGCTCAAGATGCTGCTCCCTGCAGATCCACTGCTTCCACTTTACACCCACTTCATTCATCTCATCAGATTTGCTGCTATAGGAAATCATCTCAAATCCTGTGCAAATCCATGGAGACGGACAATATTGTATGCTCAGTATAGTGTTCTCTGCAAGTCCACTGCTTCCACTTTGCATCTACTTCAATCCACTTATTTTACTCCAAAAAATCCACCAATCAGTGAAAAGTTGATAAGGTGGGAAAGTGCTCCGCCCTCCAAACATGGTGGCTGTAGTGTAGCCACGCCTTCTTCCACCTCTTGTACACGGGATGGTGAGGGCGCCCCTAGTAGTGCTTCCCCTCACCACACCAATAGGACTCCCAGCTTTTCAGCTCCCAGAGTCAGAAACATCCTTCACACTCTCCTCATCTCCGATGGTAAAGGAACCGGATCCTCCTCGCTCACTCTGCAAGGTCTGCTGCGGGTTCTGTCAGTCTCCCTCCTAGACTCCGCCTCCAAACGCCATTCCAGCAGGAGCTCCGCCTCTAAATACACACTCAGGGAGGAGAGAAAGGGGAAACCGACATCATGTGACACCTTTTATTACATGGAAATACGAAAATCAACGGGACTAATGCAATCACATTTACTGCAAAATCAAAGGAGCCAAAATCCCTCCCCCGAGCAGTCATATATTTCTGTCCCCCTTGGTGGGAGTGGAGGTGACCCCTCTATAAGGATCTACAGTCCATACACACCCAGCACAAGGCCGGGGTCACACTACCAGACGCTTCTCGGGGCTGCAGTTCCTCTGAGCTCCACAAGGTGGGGATCTCACTTCTACCCAGACAGGAAGTCTCTATAGAAGACAGACAGGAAGTAGAGAGGAGACGTTGGTGGAAGTGGCAGCAGAGAAGGTAATAAGATGTTATTTCCTATTTACACCCAGTAACCCCCCGTCATGTCCGTCCTCTTCCTCCATAGTCACTGTGACGTCTTTTATCTCCAGCTGATGATACACACATATATAGTGTGGGAACCCAGATGAACCCCTTCAGGGGGAGGAGTTGATGATAATATATTTGCCCCCAAAGCTGGCCTACATGGTTCAGTTTTATCGTTCAGCCAGCGGGATGAGAGAAAAAAACTGAAGTGATTCCCCCATCCACACATTGGAGGTGGATGGGGGAATCCTCCGTGCTGCACTCTTGTATTCTGACAATGGGGGGACTCCTCTGCTCTCAGAATACACGGATCAGCACTGAAGCTATTGGCTGCAGCCGCTGGGGGGAGTGGCTTTTATCCGGCAGTGGCCACACATGGATGGAAATGTGAGCGATCCCTGCTGAACCAGCTGAATTTCCATGGATCTATGGTCACCTTCAGTGACTTCCTCCCCTCCCCCTCATCTCCTTCATGATGGAAGTCATGCTGAGATCATCTCCCATTGGCTGAGCAATATTCTCATTTGTCTCTCAGCTCCTTCTTGCTATTCCTCGTCCTGCCTGTTGTTTCCTTGGATTGATTTTCTGTGTAGTGACCCCGGCTTGGTCTCTTGGATGCGCTCGTCTGTTGCTTGCCCTGACCTTTCTCCTGATTCCTGGATCTCCTCCTCATCTCTCCTCCATATCCTCTTACACAGCTTTTCTCCACACCTGCAGTGACCCTGGGGGGAGGAAACTTGGCACCAGCACGCCGCCAAATCCATCCCCACCATTAGGGGCTCTGGAGACAATTGTCTGCTATTTACACTCCGTTCCTCCGCATGTCACCTGATCACATGACAGCTTACTTCCACAGATTCCGGACAGATTTCTGGATGGTAAAGGTCAAAGTTCACTCTTCAGTTTAGGAGAGGTAGGACGCACCCCAGGAACAAGGATTTGGTTTATACGGGAGCCTCATGTAGAGGACCCCTCAAAATCTCCCCATCCAAATGTCCCTCCATCCAGAGTCTATATGTCCTATGACATCACACTGACCTCACAGCTCCTCCTGCCAATGTCCCTCCATCCAGAGTCAGAGAATCCTATGACATCACGCCGACCTCACAGCTCCTCCCCCCAATGTCCCCTCCATCCAGAGAATCCTCTGACATCACGCCGACCTCAAAGCTCCTCTTCCCAATGTCCCTCCATCCAGAGTCAGAGAATCCTATGACATCACGCCGACCTCACAGCTCCTCCTCCCAATGTCCCTCCATCCAGAGTCAGAGAATCCTCTGACATCACACTGACCTCACAGCTCCTCCCCCCAAAGTCCCTCCATCCAGAGTCAGAGAATCCTATGACATCACGCTGACCTCACAGCTCCTCCTCCCAATGTCCCTCCATCCAGAGTCAGAGAATCCTATGACATCACACTGACCTCATAGCTCTTAGGATGTGGGGGACCCTTTGCATCCTCAGTAGCAAAGTTGAACTGTTTGTCATGTGTTGTATATAATGACACCAGAATTGACACATTTCTAACCTATGGAATATGGGGGTCCTGTGAGGGTGAATTATACCTCAGCCTGAAGTGGGGCTTTAATAAAATGAGTTTATCTCTCCCGATCAGCGGTGTTCCCTGCAGTACACACCCCGCCCCCTAGTAAAACACTCCCCTCACACAGTTACCCTTTCACTGAATAATAAACTTAACCCCTTCCTCCCCAGTGCCATTAGTACAGTGTCAGTGTTTTTTTTTTTTTGCACTGATCACTGTATTGGTGTCACTGGGGATGTCAGTGACCCCAAGTCTGTACCCCCCAATGTCAGAATGTCCGCCGCAGTCCCACCATAAGTCGCTGATCACCGCCATAAGTCACTGATCGCCGCCATAATTCGCTGATCGCCGCCATTATTATTATACAAAAAAACTAAAAATCCCAGTGTCTTTCCCGCCATTTGTAAATGGTATAACTTTCACGTAAACCAATTAATTTACACGTATTGTTTTTTTTTTTTTTTAGCAAAGACATGTCGCAGAATGCATTTTGGCAGAAATTTATGACTAAATTTGATTTTAAAATTTTTTTTTTATTGGACATGTTTTATAGCAAAAAGTCCAAAATATTGTTTTTTTCCTCAAAATTGTCAGCCTTTTTTTTTATAGCGCAAAAAATAAAAAACGCACAGACGATCAAATACCACCGAAAGAAAGCTCATTTTGTGGGGAAAAAAAGGATGTAAATTTCATTTATGTACCATATTGCATGACCGCGCAATTGTCTGTTAAACTAGCGCAGCGCTGTATAGCAAAAAAATGTTGTAAATTGCAGTATCTATACCATAGTTTGTAGACGCTATAACTTCCACACAAAGCAATCAATATACACTTATTGGGATTTTTTTTACCAAAAACATGGAGCAGAATACATTTTGGCCTAAATTTATAACCAACTTTGAGTTTACTATATATTTTTTATAGCTGAAAGTAAAAAATATTGTTTTTCTTCAAAATTTTTGGCTTTTTTTTTTTTGTTTATAGCGTGAAAAATAAAAAGCGCACAGGTGATCAAATACCACCGAAAGAAAGCTCTATTTGTGTGAAAAAAAGGACGTAAATTTCTTTTGGGTGCAGCATTGCATGACCGCGCAATTATCAGTTGAATTAGTGCAGCGCCGAGTAGCAAAAAGAGGCCCGGTCATTAAGGGGGGTAAATCCTCAGGAGGTCAAGTGGTTAATATGCAGACATCGCACTTACAACAAACAGTGTCCTAGCCAACACCGGCATCAATAGCATGTCAAACACAATAGACAAACCCAGCCGCTCAGAACATGCGCCGTAGACCACTGGGAAACTTAAAGCCCCGCCAGGGCTTGATTGATGTGACGTCATTACGTTTCCCAGTGGTCTACAGCGCATGTGCTGAGCGGCTGTGTTCATCTATTGTGTTTGACGTGCTGTTGATGCTGGTGTCGGCTAGGACACCGTTTGTTGTAAGTGCGATGTCTGCATATTAAACAAATCAATTTTAAAAAGGTACTGCACTATGAGCTGTTGTTTTTTCCCCCGAGTGCCTGGTCTAATACCCTCTGGATATGAATGTGTTTATAAGTGGATTTTCCAAGTGACACATCCGTTTTGCAGAGTATTGCTCCCTGGATATCGATTTGCTAGCCAAGTATTGTTTTTTGCAGAGTATTGCCCCCTGGAGATCAAGTTTTAAAGCCAAGTATTGTTTCATCAGCCTGCTGACCATCGCTCCCAGAGCAAATAGCGCTTTATGATGATTTATATTATCAGCATTTAGTCTGGTGAGTTCATTTCGTTTATTTGGCGGTGGATTGTCACTTTTTTTCAGTGCATTTTTTCACTTTATTGGACTTTATATATTTTTTTGGG